AATTATTTGTGTGATCCTAGTGAAAGGGTGGACAGGACCGTTCGACGTATGGCTTTGAAATGTACGATGGGAGATGATGATCTTTATCACCGGACGGTTGATGATGTTCTTTTAAAGTACTTGGACAAGGACCAAGCGAGAGTTGCTATGGGAGAGGATCGTGAAGAAATTTGTGGCACTGATCAGTCGGCTCCCAAGATGAAATGGTTATTGCGATGGGTTGGGTTTTATTGGCCGACGGTGATTAATGATTGCTTCAGGTATATAAAGGATGTGAATCTTGTCAAAAGTTTGGTGATATTCAGTTGGCTCATGCTGCTAGCCTGCTATGTTACATCGTATTATCAAGCAGTGGCCTTTTAGAGGTTGGGGATTAGACTTATTGGAGAGATTCATCCTTTCTTCTTCAAAGGGGCATCGGTTCGTATTGGTGGCAACTGATTATTTCACTAAATGGTCTAAGGCAATACCACTCAAAAATATGATGCATACGGAGGTAATTCAATTTATAACTAAGCAAATTATTCATAGATTCGACATTCCTCACACATTAACTAGGGACCAAGGTTCATCTTTTATGTCACATCAAGTTAGAGAATTTGCGGAATCATATAAGATAAAGTTGCTCAATTCCTCTTTGTATTATGCCCAAGCCAATGGACAAGCTGCGTCTAGCAATAAAATATTAATCAAGATCATCAATAAGAAGATTCAGGATAATCCAAGGAGATGTCATGAGCTATTGTCCGAAGCTTTGTGGGCACACAGAATCTCAAGGCATGGTGCTACAAAGATAACTCCATATGAGCTCGTATATGGTCAAGAGGTCATTTCACCAGTGGAAGTGAATTTGAATGCTTTGAGAATAGCCCAACAAAATGATTTATCGGTGTTGGAATTTTATAACTTGCTGATGGACAATATTGATGAAGTCGCCGATAAATGTTTGGCAGCTTTGAAGGCCATAAAGAGCGATAAGTTGAGGGTGGCAAGAGCTTACAATAAGAAGGTCAAGTTGAAGAATTTTCAAATTGACGATCTTGTGTGGAAAATGATTCTACCAATTGGTTCAAAAGACAGAAAATTTGGGAGGTGGTCTCCAAGTTGGGAAAGTCCTTTTAAGATTACAAGAGTAGTTCTTGGAAACTCATATTTGATGGAATTTGCAAAAGGTACATTTTTACCTCGAGCTCTCAATGGAAAATATTTAAAGAAATACCACCCAAGTGTGAGGTAAGAAGCCTAGATATGAGACTGACCGATATATAACTGTCGCCCTAAGCAAAGACATGGCCGATATATAATTATCGCCCTAAGAAAAGAGATGGTCGATCTATAATTATTGCCCTAAGTACATATAAAGGGCCGATGGATTGTTGACATCGTCCTTAGAGCAAATAGGGTACAAAATATTTTTTGCACGCTAGTTATGCCAAAAAATTAGGGTGGCATGTGTTAACACCAGATTTTTGCAAAACCAAAAACTCAATTAAGATGGCCTCGGATGAAAAACAAAATTAGCAGCAAAGTACTTCGTCTCGTGGAAACGGATGATTTTGATATAAAAACCGTCTTAATCCAAGGTCGTATGCAAAAGATACGGCCAAAATTATGCGCTACAACAGTGTTTGGCTGGATCATCCGGGCTAGGACCCGGATCATTCAGCCGAAGACCGGACGAATGACCCAAACGTATGGGCTTCATCCGGGAAGGGCAACAGAAGGTTGAACGCGAAGCCGGATCATCTAGAAGGAGTCCCGGATGATCCGGGTTGGACGTCCTGACAATTTTTTTTCTACTGAGACTTTAGGAAACAACCGAAAACCTCCTCCGGATGATCTCAAATTGAGAAGTGTTTAAAATCAAAGTTATGCATCTCGTCGAAATGGTTGATTTTGATATAAAAATCATCTTAAATATTTTCAAAAGTTACAGCCTGATCAATGTACTGTTATCAAAAATCTTGGCTTGGCCGCATCATCCAGGCCTCCAGCTGGACTTATGGGCCGGAGATCGTGAAAAGTCCATGTTTGGTTAGTTGTTCATGATTTGGACGGCAAGGCAAGTCCTTTTTTTTAACGGGAAGTCCATCAGCCTCTTATATAGATAGGAGGTGACGACCGATTGAACGACACATAATCGCAACACTACCATTTTTTCATCTACGTTTTGTCCCTCCCTCGTTCTTCGTCATTCTTTATGTTGGAGAGTTGCGAATCCCGAGGCTCTAGTGGCGGCTTGACCGACCTAGGGCAGCCCATAGTCTCCGCACTCCCCGACGGAGTCCCTCCCGAACGTGTGGGGTTTCGGATCTTCAAAAGTTCTCTCCGGTTGTCGTGAGCAGGGTGCATCACCCCCGGCATCAAGGGTAGACGTGACGTATTCGTGTGCGAACACACTTTTTCGTGAACATTTTTTCTAACTGCTGCTCGGTTGCCCCTTGCAAGTGACGCACCCTGCAACAGATCAGTAAATAGATTTCCAAGTTTTGAGCATTCTTGTCATCTCTATCTCCGTCTCCTGCAATTTCTCCAACTACAACCATACGTATCTTAGAGGGTGTTTGTTTTTAAGGACTTATTGGCTTAGGGACTTAAAAAAGTCCCTATAAGTCCCATCTAAACCAAACAGGAGGGATTTATAGGGACTTAAAAGTGGGCATTTGGGACTTATGAAATAAGACTCTCAAGGAGAGTCTTATAGGGACTTATTGTTGTAATATGATCTTATAGGGACTTATAAATCCCAGAAACCAAACAGGTAGGAAATTTTTAGGGACTTCGGACTTATAGGTTGGGACTAAAAAAGTCCTAGGACTTATGAACCAAACAGACCCTTATACTAGTATTTCCTTTCCTTTATACAGAGCGGAGGGCACACGAGACACGTAACTAGCAAAAAAGAAATTGAAGGGAAGAAAGAGACGTGGCTGCTCGGACCTCATTCCTTTTAACAAGGCAAAACCTTAGGCAACATCCGTGTAGCGAAAGAAGAGAGTAATCAAAGTGGAAAACACATAAAGCTTACCAATGTGTTGACATCAGATTTTTGCATGGCCAAAAGCTCAATTAAGGTGGCTTCAGATGAAAAAAGTTTCAACATCGAAGTTCTTTGTCTTGTCAAAATTATGACTTTGGTATAAAAACCATCTTAATCCAAGGTCGTATGCAAAAGATATATCTGAAACTGTGCACCGCAGCAGTGTTAGGCCGGACCATCTGGGCCGGGATCTGGATCATCCGGCCGGAGCCCGGACGAATGACCTAGACGTATGGGCTTCACCCGGGAAGGGCAACAGAAGGTTTAACGCAAAGATGGATCATCTGGAAGGAGTCCCGGATGATCCCGGTGGAGGCCGGACGATCCGGGCAAGAGTTCAGACGTCCAAACAAAAAAAATTCTACTGCAAACTTTAGAAAACAGTCGTAAAGCCCCTCAAGCTGACCTCAAAACGAAAAGTGTTCAACATCAAAGTTGTGTGTCTCGTCAAAACGGTTGATTTTGATATAAAATTCATCTTAATCCGAAGTTGTATGCAAAAATTGCAGCCTGGTCAATGTGCTATTGTCAGAAATCTGGGCTTAGTCACGTCATCCGGGCCTCTAGCCGGACATCTGGGCCGGAGATCGTGAACAGTCCGTGTTTGGTTAGTTTTCGATGATTTGGACAGCAAGGTAAATCCTTTTTTTACGGGAAGTCCATCCGCCTCTTATATAGACAAAAGGTGACGGTCGATTGAACAACACACAATCGCAACACATCTACCATTTTTTTCATCAACGTTTTGTCCCTCCTTTGTTCTTCGTATTGGAGCGCTACGAATCTTGAAGCTCATAGCCGCCGCACTCCCCGGCGGGGTTCTTTTCGGGCGTGTGAGGTTTCGGGTCTTCAAAAGTTCTCTTCGATTATCTTGCGAAACGCGTTTTCGGTGAGACTCCTTCAACATGAGCTGCGGTGCATCACCCCCAACGTCGAGGATACACGTGACGTGTTCGTGTGCGAACACACTTTGTCGTGAACATTTTTTCTAACTGCTGCTCGGTTGTGCCTTGCAAGCGACGCACCCTCTAACAGATCAGTAAATAGATTCATGCCTTTGAACAAGGCCAAACCTTAGGCATCATCCTGTAGCGAAAGAAGAGAGTAATCAGACTGGAAAACGACGGCATAAAGCTCCCCAATGTACAATTGAATTGGACGTGTTCCACGTACACCATTACTACTAGTTACTGAAACTA